TGGGTGGTCCGTCTTACCCCACGTTTTTCCTTGTCTGAATTTTTGACATGTCCCTCTTTAAGAGCATCCACCACCTAAATGTCTTCAATTTGAAATTTAGTCTTTACACAAATCAACAGAGGAAGGATTGAGCACTCCGAAGACGTTAAATAATATGAATTACGAGAGCAGTGTAGCAAGATATGCGGCCTCAAACCTTAGCTGGTCCGTCTTACCCCACCTTCCCCTACCTGGGTCATTAACTCCATATGGTCCAAGAAAGCTGGCTATACCTTTAACCCGCGCCCTGCGGGGGGGGGGGGGGGGTGTTTGAACACCCCCCTTGTGGTTTTTCGTGAATATCTCAAAAACGGCGGCGCGGAGCTCCGCCGTTTTTGGTACACCTTATCATACATCAATTCTACACATGTTGTGAAAATTTCAGACCAAGGTCATTCAAGGTCAGGCCACCAGGTCACTTGAAGTGATCTCACCTCATAAAAAAGTTTCAATGTCTGTCATAGCTACACCGAGTGACCGATCGCTTTGAAACTTTCAGCGATTGCTAAGAGCAAGAGCATGTACAAAATGTATATCTCAGAATTTTGATATCGATGACCTAAGGTCAGGTCAATTTTGCGACCTCCCCATTATAAGTCAATGGGAGAAAATTGAAATGCGCTTCTTTTGGACGAAAGACATTATAAACACTCCCAAACACCGAATTACAAGTGGTTTAGACACACTGAACATGAAAATGGTGTCCGTGACCCTTGTTTATGCCCTGAGGTCATCTTAGGTCACGAATGGTATCTAACAGTTTTTCGCAAATAACTTTTGATAGAGGCATGCTAGAGCGATGAAAACGCCTTAGCTGTGTTCAGCTCGAAGATACGGATCGACTGATGTGCAACATGACCCTTTCCGGTCAGGTCATGACCTTGACCCGAGGTCAAATTTTCAAGTTGACCTTTCAAGGTCAAGTTATAGTTCATTCGATGCGTCTTGACGAGAGGAACACGATGCTGGTAAAAGTAAGCTCGTACAAGGCTTGGGTCAAAAATTATTGCAGAAAAACTGTTTCCGAAAATATCGGCTATTTTTGCAGTTTTTGCCCCCTGCAGGCAAAACCGTTGACGTTAGGTCAAATCTGAGAGAATTACTCAGAAAGGGCGTTAATAGGGCTATCGAATGCGCTTTTCCGCGGCGCTGTAGCTCTATTGGTTCCCGAGTTATGCGTTGGCTTCTTGGAAATTTTCGATATTCGACCTGGAAATCGGCGAAATTTTGCCTTCAATGACCTCTGGTGACCTGAACTTTGACCTGACCAAAAAATTGACCGAAGTGATTTCGTCATCATTTTTTACGCTCTTTCGAACGCCGCCTTCCGTGTATCGCTACGTGGCCCAGGAGCCGAGTTACAAGGGGGGGGGGGGTGTTCAAACACACCCCCCCCCCAGCAGGGCGTGGAAATCCAGGACCCCCAGCCGGGCGCGGGTTAACAGCGATAATTATCGTTTATCGTTTATCGCTCATCCTATCGCATGCGGAAACCACTGTCCGATGTCAAAGGCAATCTTCCTGACCTCATCCAACGCATGGAATCTACCCTCTCCGCCTTGTCTGCTTGGTTCCATGCCCATGGTTTACTCAACGCATCCTAAACTGAAGTCCTCCTCCTCGGCACCCGTCAGAACACCCGTAACCTGCCCCCTGTCAGCGTACGGGTCGGTGGTGGGACTGTTCGGGAGAGCCGGACAGTCAACAACCTAGGCGTGCTGTTTGACCGTCACTTGAGTTGGGACGCACACGTCAGTGATGTGGTTCGCCACTGTACCGGCCTCCTGATCGGTCTCCGCCACCTGAGACATTTCCTCCCGCAGCACGTAGGTACTGAAAACTATTGTTGAGGGGCTGGTCATCTCGCGTGTGAGATACTGCATATTCGTTTACGGAAACGGTTCTGCAGAAAAATGCACCAGACTTCTCAAAATTATTAACTTCGCTAATCGCTACAAGAGTTATTACCGGCCTCAAAAAGTACGACCACGTGTCTCGCGCGCGGGATGACCTGCACCTCACATCGGCCTCTGCACGGTTCGTCGGAAGGTCATCTCAGGCTCAAAAGAAACGATACATACCATTCGAAAGCTGACGGTGAGCTGAATCAAAAAATGTAATTTTTATCAAAATCGATCGATGGCCTTTTTTGAAAATTGCGTTTTTGTAAAAACTTAATAATCTTTTATTCAACGGGCTGTCCCGGACATTCTTGAAAACATAAACATGTATTTTTGAGTTCCAGTGAAAGCTGAACGCCAAAAGAACAATATTTAGCGAAGCAATATTTCCAAACATTAATATGCGTCTCCCACAGCCGACAATAAGGCGCAATCTCACAGCTCAGTGTCACGATGGACCAAAGTTAGCCACACAGAAGCGTGAAATGACCCTTATCGACTCGCAGACCCGGCGCTCTAGGCCCGCCTGACCGGCCACGGAAAGAACGCTCGTCATATTTGTTATATTAACGTCATATTTGAACGTATGTCATATTTGTCAGTTTAACTGTCCACATCGCTATTAAAAGTTATTCAGGATACCTGTGAAGAAAATTCATTGTTCTGCTTGATTTACAACATGCTTTAATTTACATTTTTCTTACACATGTTTTGTTCCATCCAGCTGCGATCAGTGCCCGCGCAGGGGACGTGAGCGGGGTTTCACTGTCAGAGGCTGTACTGGTGACAGCTGCTCGGCCGTGCGACCGGTCAAAGGTTACCCTGCCCCGCCGGACGCTGCCCCCACTCCACCCGAACTGAGGCCGGTGCAACCTCTGACATTTCAGCTTGGCCAATTTTCCTTATATGGGCATGATACCAAGCTCAATTGAGCAAAGTAGACATGAACAAATGCAAATTAATGCTTGATGTGAAGATGACAGAACAATGAATTTTCTTCACAGGTATCCTGAATAACTTTAACCCGCGCCCGGCTGGGGGTCCTGGATTTCCACGCCCTGCTGGGGGGGGGGGGGTGTTTGAACACCCCCCCTGCCAACTCGGCTCCTGGGCCACGTAGCGATACGCGGAAGGCGGCGTTCGAAAGAGCGTCAAAAATAACGACGAAATCACTTCGGTTAATTTTTTGGTCAGGTCAAAGGTCAGGTCACCAGAGGTCATTGAAGGCAAAATTTCGCCGATTTCCAGGTCGAATGTCGACAATTTCCAAGAAGCCAACGCATAACTCGGGAACCAATAGAGCTACAGCGCCGCGGAAAAGCGCATTCGATAGCCCTATTAACGCCCTTTCTGAGTAATTTTCTCAGATTTGACCTAACGTCAACGGTTTTGCCTGCAGGGGGCAAAAACTGCCAAAATAGCCGATTTTTTTTCGGAAACAGTTTTTCTGCAATAACTTTTGACCCAAGCCTTGTACGAGCTTACTTTCACCGGCATCGTGTTCCTCTCGTCAAGACGCATCGAATGAACTATAACTTGACCTTGAAAGGTCAACTTGAAAATTTGACCTCAGGTCAAGGTCATGACCTGACCGGAAAGGGTCATGTTGCATATCAGTCGATCCGTATCGTCGAGCTGAACACATCTAAGGCGTTTTCATCGCTCTAGCATGCCTCTATCAAAAGTTATTTGCGAAAAACTGTTAGATATCATTCGTGACCTAAGATGACCTCAGGGCATAAACAGGGGTCACGGACACCATTTTCATGTTCAGTGTGTCTAAACCACTTGTAATTCAGTGTTTGGGAGTGTTTATAATGTCTTATGTCCAAAAGAGGCGCATTTCAATTTTCTCCCATTGACTTATAATGGGGAGGTCGCAAAATTGACCTGACCTTAGGTCATCGATATCAAAATTCTGAGATATACATTTTGTACATGCTATTGCTCTTAGCAATCGCTGAAAGTTTCAAAGCGATCGGTCACTCGGTGTAGCTATGACAGACATTGAAACTTTTTATGAGGTGAGGTCACTTCAAGTGACCTGGTGACCTGACCTTGAATGACCTTGGTCTGAAATTTTCACAACCTGTGTAGAATTGATGTATGATAAGGTGTACCAAAAACGGCGGCGCTCCGCGCCGCCGTTTTTGAGATATTCGCGAAAAACCACAAGGGGGGTGTTCAAACACCCCCCCAGCAGGGCGCGGGTTAATAGCGATGTGGACAGTTAAACTGACAAATATGTCATGTGTTTAGTAGAACGAGAGCCGAACGTTCTTTCCGTGGCCGGTCAGGCGGGCCGAGAGCGCCGGGTCTGCGAGTCGATAAGGGTCATTTCACGCTTCTGTGTGGATGACTTTGGTCCATCGTGACACTGAGCTGTGTGATTGCGCCTTATTGTCGGCTGTGGGAGACGCATATTAATGTTTGGAAATATTGCTTCCTTTCCTAAATATTGTTCTTTTGGCGTTCAGCTTTCACTGGAACTAAAAAATACATGTTTATGTTTTCAAGAACGTCCGGGACAGCCCGTTGAATAAAAGATAATTAAGTTTTTACAAAAACGCAATTTTCAAAAAAGGCCATCGATCGATTTTGATAAAAATTACATTTTTGGATTCAGCTCACCGTCAGCTTTCGAATGGTATATATCGTTTCTTTTGAGCCTGAGATGACCTTCCGACGAACCGTGTCTGATATGTACCGGGTCGCAGCGGTGCCATTGCGCGCGGTGAGCCGACCGTCCTCGCCTCGCGTTCACCACGAACGCGGGGTCGCGGGCCAGTGGTGACCGCACCACCCGGAATGATCGTCGCCTACGGCCAACGGTAACGCGCACTGCGGCTGGGCAGCGCGCCTTCTCGTACCAAGCGACCGCGCTTTTAAACCAGCTGCCTACTGCCTTTTTAGATCTCGGCCCGGGCAGTTTCAAGAGAGCAGTGAAGACGTTTTTTTCTGATGGAGTGACGAGTGGCTGTGATTGACGATGGTGTGGTTGCGTATGGCGCGTGTGTGTCTGTGTGCGTGTCGTGTGTCTAGTATGGATACCTATAGGTGTGTGATTTCTGACATTTTTTATTCCCATTTAACCCCGACGTACGCGTTTTTACTCGCCATGACTTAAGACACAGAATAGCGACGGTGTACTGTGGAGTTGTCTCCTCCGTCAATACAATACTATACAATACACTGTTTAAAAGAAACTGTTCTCTAGGCTTCATTCAGTAATTGCAAACATTGGGAAATTCAAGCCGCCTCTTACTCTAGGTTTCTATCTTTGTCATCGCCGCATTGCTCGGAACCCTGCCGGTAGCGCGCGTACACTTCCTCAAAGTACTGTTTGCAAGAGATCCTGGCTCCGAGCCGGGCGCAGAGCAGGAAAACGCCCGACATCTTTCTGTGCAGTGAGTAGGTCTCCTCTGGCGGCGGGCAGAGACGCTGCGTCAGCATCACCGGCACCAGCTGCTGAATCCGCCGCGTCGTCGACTGCTGGCCGAAGTCGAAAGGCGCCTCGCTCTGAAATGCCTCGCCGAGGATCATCACCGCCTCGACGTGGGCGTCCTGCATGGCGCGTGACTCATAGCCGGTGAGGAACCCGAGCTGGACTGATTGGTCGAGCACTTTCTGACGATCGTGGCGCGCCGCGCCGTGGATGATCTCGATGTATGTATCGATAAACTCCTTGCTAAATTCACGACACGCTCCGAAGTCAAGAAGCGTAATGCGCCCCGTGTCTGGCTCATAGAAGAAGTTAGACCAGTTGGGGTCGGTCTGCATAAAACGCCACTCAAATACCTCGCGCATGCACAGTTCCACGAGGCGCGAACATATATGGTTACGCGTCCGCTGGTCGGCGCCGACGCACTGGTCCAGCGGCACACCCTCCACTAGCTCCATGCCGAGCACCTGTCCAGTGGTTAGCTCACCCACCACCTCCGGCACGTAAAACTTATCCGAATGCGGTTCCACTAGACGGCGCATGCGCACAGCACACTCGGCCTCACGCTGGTAGTCGCACTCCCAGTCGAGCTCGCGTTTAGCCACGGCCACAAGGTTATCGATAAAGAGGCCCTCGGGCAGTATGCTGGCTACGTTCAGGACGGCCATCAGGTTGTTGATGTCGCTGTCAATGCCCTGTGCCACGCCCGGATACTGCACTTTGATGGCCACCCGCCGGCCGTCCGGCAGCGTGGCCTTGTGCACCTGACCGATGGAGGCCGCCGCGAACGGTCGCTCCTCGAATGTTTCCAGCCGTGCGCGCCAGTCGTCACCGAGCTGTTGGCGCATCACGCGTTCCATCTGCCAACGCGGCATGAAGTCTGCCGACTGACGCACACGTTCGAAGATGTTCTGCAGCTGCGGGCTGATAAGCGCGTTATCCTGGATGCTTAGAATCTGTCCGAGCTTCAGCGCCGCACCACGCACACGACACAACGTTGACACAATCCTCTCGGCGTTGGCCTCTGTGAGCAGCGGGCTGGCGTCCAGCAGGGCGGAGGCAGCCGCGGGCCCTCCACGGCTGCGCAGGCCGAGGGTGCGCCGTGTCATCTCGGCGATGGCGCCGGCGCCCAGACCAGCCGCCAGGCCGCCGAACGTCGCCAGCCGAGACAACCGAGACGCAGGAACGGGCCGCTCTCGGGCCGAAGGGGACATCTGCGTGGCCGAGGTGGCACCGACGCTGGCTAGTGCCGGTTTCGAGGATGCCGGGACGACCGGAGTCGGGTCAGGTCCTGTCTGCGACAATGAGGCCTCAGGCGGGCCGGCCGTGACGAGAGTCTGATCGTTGACATCCAGTTCAGAGCCGTTTGTCGTCGTCGTCTCGGGCGCATGCTCCAGACGGCCGCCCTCCGCCGACAGCCGGTCGCCGGCCCGCTGGGCCGGCTTCATCTGACTGCGCGCGGTGGACTTCGAGTGTGTCTGAGGCGGCACAGCTGGTCGGTCGACAGATGCTGAGCTGACAGCACCCGGCATTCGACGCACCACGCTGGAGGTGGCCGCCAGCCGGCCGAGGTCCAGGCGCGCTTGCCTGACGGTCGCCCAGACCACAAGCTCCAGGCCACGCCACAGGCGCGCCAGCTCAGAGAGACGGGACATGGCTGCTGGACGAAAAGAACATACAGTAAGACGCAATACATGTGACACTCCCAAGCCCAAGGCATGGTGTGGCTGTGAAAAGGGCATTGGGCTTTCAATGCCACTTGGGCTTCCAATGCCACTTGTTATTCGACGAGACGTTACACAGCAATATCAACCCTCAGGGGACTATCTGAGAGTTGGTGGCTATGGCCGGTTCACTGTTCAGACTACACAACTGGTCACATTGGAGGTTCTTAACCCGCGCCAGGTCGGGGGGGGGGGGGGGTGTTTGGACAACCCCTGTGGTTTTTCGCATTTATCTAAAAAAAAACGGCCAGTCCTTTCCCGCACACGTTATGTAAATTTTAGACCCAGGTCGCTCAAGGTCAGGTCACCAGGTCACGTCGAGTGACCTCATCTAAGAAAAAGTTGGAATGCTCGTCATAGCTACACCAATGAAACGGTTGCTTTTAAACTTTCAGCGATGGATAAGAGTAGGGTAGACCGGGGCAACGCGCACCCCGGAGGTAATGTGCGCCACGTTAATATATATATGGCTTCCCGTGTGTAAATAGTTTTAACCCTTTTACTGGTGGTGGTGGTGGTGGTGGGGGGGGGGGGGGGGGCCAATCGGCCCCACCTGTAGTTTTTTTTTTGCTCTCGACGGAGAACGACTTAAGCTAGGGCTAGGGCTTCGGCCCGCGACCATCTGACGTCCGGCCCGCGGCTGGTATCAGCGACTTACATCGTGTTCCGGCCGGCGGTTCCTTCAGAAATCGACTTCGATATAAAAGTAACTTAAATGTGCGTTGGCACAATAGTTCTTCCTTCACACATTTCATGAGTTTATAAGCACCACTTGCAGACGTTTTTGTCTAATTCAACTTCTAGACAAAACTTGCAACGGTAAGATTTGGTCAGCAGCTTTTGCGCGCAGCAGCAACGACTGCTGGCTGCGCGCAGTTGGGGGCCTCACGCGGTCTACTCGTTTAATTTATATCTCCGGGATAACTTGCCTCTCTCAACCGCTGCAGGATTACCCCACCGGGCAAAGCACGTGAGCTGTCACAGCTAAAAATGTATTAATAACGCTGTCATATTCGGCCCCCGGTCAACAGACATGGTAGCCCAAATCTAGTCGGATATGAAAATTATTCCAAATCCATAGACTTTAATGCTAAATTGACTATATTTGAGAGGGTTTTATGATGATAAATGACCAGATACAGAAAAAAAGCGAGATGCTATCTTGTAGATTAAATCGTCGACTATCTGCGACTTTTGAAGTGTTTTTTAATCTGAGGTACGGAAATCGTGTTCCCAAGAGACTGAAAGTAGCCATGCTTTACATTAGACCCAATGGCAAAAATTCGGAATCTGACGAAATTGGCCATTTTTACGTCTGATTTATGAAAATTATAGACAGGATATATAAAAACCCGAGATGCTATCAGGTGGGAAATTTCATTGTCTATTACCGCTTTTTGAAGTGTTTTTCGATCTGAGACCGGCAAATCGTGTTCCCAAGAGACTGAAAGTAACCCTGTTCTACAGCAAGACAATGGCAGAATTCTAATATTTGATGGAAGATATCTTAGGTGATAATAACCTTACTACTAATTGCAATGCTTCATTGGAAAGCTCAACACTGCCACTATCATCGGTCTATGTATTGCTATTTCACAGAACAACAAAAAATAACGTTTTGAAGCCTCTGAATATTGACTTACTTTTCATCGACGGGCTCGATCCCCGTTACCACCAGCAATTTTCCGGGAAGTCAGGATTTTGCAGATATTTAAGCAGAATTGCAGAGTTGTGTTAATACTACGGCACTTAAATACACATTTTAAGAAAACTGCTTTTTTTCTTAGCATGAGTTAGGTCTCAGAAACAGCAACATGTCGATATAATGAGGAAAAATAAGTGCAAATGATCGCGCAAGAGAGTATCCTTAGCTCCCTAGCAACCACCTAGCAACGTAAGGCAAAATAGTAAACAACTTCTGTTGGTATCAGGTACTCAGCCTTGGAAGCACACTAAAAGTTCACCATACTGGGCTTCATACTGAATTTTGCATACCAGAATGGGTGTTTCCAACTAAAATTATTTTTTCGCGAAATTTATCTTTGTTGCCCTACTATTTTTCGTAAAACCGAGATATACAAACTTCATGATATCAAAAATAATATTGTGATAATGAAGAGCGCCGTATAAAACAAGAAAATTGCTGAGATCATGCCTACTAAACTTGGTCCTACCCCCTAATTCAATATACCCTGGTCATATTTGCCAAACATTGCTTGTAACCTAAAAACTATGTCCCCTGGTTTGGCTCTCCCACAGGAGACGAATCGGTAACTTGGCTGAATCCCAGTTGCGGCACCCGGCCGCCAGGGTCGCTGCCGCGCGAGCGGCCTTGACCGCTCGCATGTCATTGGCAGTTCGGTCCCTCCCCATCTATACCGAGGTGGGGAGGGGAGAAGAGGGGAAGAGAGGGGAGGGAGCGGCATCCGCTCGGCACTGGGCGATACCTGGCTGACCCCGCGCTCCCTCGCTGACCTTTGTCCTGCCCTCAGGAGTCAGGCGAAGACCGACTTCCTGGCCTGAAGCGGCCCAGCGGAAAACCGAGCTCGCGGGGCGCGACTCCATTGGCCCACTCTTATAAATGGAATGCTGTCGTATCCACGGCATTAGATAATATTAATAGTGATACCAGCAGTGGATGTGGTAAAATACAGTCCAAAACAAACGAAAGCACACGATTCGTACATAATGCGCCCTCCCATTCAAATAAGCCCGCCCACTTCGATAGATGGTGTAGTTTCTTAGAGCGTAAAAGATGCAAAACACTACCGATTTTTTTTTTTTTTTAGCTCGGCCACTGGGACCGACAATATACAATTGACTGAAATGCATGAAAACAATTTTGCATTTAGGTAATAGCCGTTTTCTGCACCCAAACTTTAGCCAGTGACGCCCTGATGATGATGATTGGGTTTGATGGCGTGCCCAACCTCTGAGGGTTATATGACGCCAGTAACTTATCTTTTTGCGTGAGGTGCGGGGCAAGAACTGAACAGCGAGTTAACAACAGTCTTAAAGCGCAGGTAAGCGTGCTAAACAATGGTGAGCAATGTGCAGTTTCCTCTCAAAGCACGAGTAAAATGATGTAAAAAACGGGACAACAGTCCCTCAAGAAGCGTTGCTCGGGCTAACGTCCAATATACTAGGTCTGGGTTTAGAAACTATCGTGCTCGAAGATAAAAGCCAACCCTCGCAGGACAGCGAGGCAAGAGTTCCGGTAAAGAGAGAGTTTTACGAGACTTTGTGAGAGTAGACTACTCGGAGTCCCGATGTTCTGACGAACGCAAAGAGGGCTTCCCTGTCTAGGAGGTGCGAGTCGTTACCTAGCAGGTTTTGGATGGTCAGCTGATGCGTAGCCCCGAAATGCGCTTCCCTTTCACGATTAAGCTGAGGACAGTCCAGTAGAACATGCCTCACCGATAGGGGGACAGTGCATCTAGGACACGTAGGTCTGTCTCCTCCACAGAGGAGAAAGCCGTGGGTGCCGTACGTGTGCCCAGTCCTCAGCCTGCACAGGCTGGCACGGTCGCATATTTACGTCTGGACAACGAGTTGCGTTGGAGAGGCCGGAAATAGTGGCGATTTGAGGACCGCAAGAATGGACCGTCATTGGAATGATTCTTTTTTAAACCGTGCACTGTTTTCGGCCGGAATTTAATAGTTGCTACAAAATATTTTGTAATTTCGTGTCCACCAAGAATGAATGCCATCAGGGCTAAATTTTTACTACTTTTGCATTTTGTCAAGAAGCATATAGTGCTGTTATATTGCAGTTTTAGCGCGTTTGTTACAAAATATGAAGCGTCAGTGTAATTCATCAATGCCAGAAGTTAACCTGAGGGGAAAGTTATTAAATATTTTGCTTTGTGTATTCCAAAAGGAGAGAGAACTATTTTATTTGTGGCTTCATGTCAGAATTGAAGGTGGATCATTTAATTTTCAAGGCAGTTGCCAGTTAACAAACAAGCATTTGGTCTTTCTCGTATATAAGCAGTGGCTAAGAAGAAAAGGTTGATCAATCCGGAAGTTCAGTCATCGTACCTCAACTTGGCAGCAAGATCCCCAAGGACAGAGGATACCTAATACCTATATTGTATACCTGTCCTGTAAATCAAAGCATTTTTGTACCTGCAAAGGCTTAAGTTCTTTGTGGTGTGTTCGGAGTGAGGCTATACGGCCGTTTTTGTTGTATGTTTATGTGGAGATTGAATATAACTGTGACCCTGTGCTTGTTTGTATACTTACTATGGTCAAACAGGGAACAGCACATTCACATAACATACTCACCTGACACCTAGCACCTAACTCATAGCTGTACCCTGCAGGATCTGTACTTGTTCATGTCTCGAGCATTAACAAAGCACTTAAGTAGCTTAGTAATCATTTCCCACATTTTCTGAGCATCTAACATGACATACAGCAGTGCAGAGCAGCTTCAGAGAAGAAACGCTTTAAATGCACAGACTCACACCAGCCACCCAATGAGCCAGTTCCTCAGTTGACTGTTTCCTTGGATGCAGCTTGGCAAGGTGAGCTAACTATTGGCAAGTTGAAGGTTAGCAGGTAAGATTGAGTTAGGGTGAGTACCTACCTATAACTGGGTGCTACTGCTATGCAGGTCTTGGGTAGGCTGCAAATATGTGTGATGATTGAGGTTAGGTCAGCTGTCAGGTTATTCATGTATGCTCATTGCTCAAGTCACATTTTTTTATGGACACTTGGCAAATTAAAAAACTAACATAACGTAACTTAAGCTAACCCGACTAAACCTTCACAACTGCTGACTATAGGAACTAAGCACCTACCTACTTGTGCCTACATCTCATACCATGTCAAAGTAGAGTTCCTTGGTGGAAGATTACCCTCAGTACTTTTTATCTCAGCCCTGTGAAGAAAACAAATACTTCTAAGCTCTGAGTCACTGCTGGCCATC